ATGTGTTGTAAAACCGAATTACAAACGAGGCGAACTACAGAGGAACAACGGCGAGTCAACCGTCGGAGGTTGACAAGAAAAGTAACCGCTGGAGGTTACGCGAAGGCCGGTCAGCGACCTTTGACTTGACGAACACAGCGCGACAGCAAGGACAAACAACTGACTCGATACTGAGCAGTTGCCCGAGTCGTCAATGTATCGAACCGCAACAGCAACAGTAAAACAGTTATCAGTTGCATCTTTTCATATTCCTTGTACTCTTATAAAACATTGTATCTTCTTGCTTTAATCAATCTATCTCGCCCTCACATACTAGCGCAAGGTGGTTCAACACTTGTTAGTGTACCACGGGAGGGGCGGACTCTACATCGGCAAGGCAGTGTTGAAGAACAATGTCTTCGTCCTCAACTTCGTTCCGGATCAAGGCACCGCCGACAGCAACGGAATCGTCACCTTCGCTTCCTGGGCACATCCGCCGGATCTCGACCCCGACTTCAGCCCCGACGGCTTCTAGTACTCGAACACCATCCCTGAGGCAAAACGAACACGCGCATTAGTGACAATCCAACAAGCAAAGACAACATCGCGATAGCCGCCATGAAGCGGAAGAAACTTCGTCAAATCAACGTCGCCAACGCCTTTCTCTACGCACCCGTCGACGCTCAAATCTTCATCGAGCAACCGCACGGCTCCAACGCAGACCTCTACCAAGTCTGTCAACTACTTAAGTCCTTGCACGGCATCAAATAGGCCCCGAGACTGTGGCAACAATACCTACACGCTCGGCTAATCCGCATCGGATTCAGGCAACTGCCGCACGATCAAGGGATGTATCGCCTCACGAAAGGAGCCGACTACATCCTGCTCATCGTCTACATGGACGATCTACTCTACATCGGCTCGACCTACGGCGTCACAACCTGGTTCGAAGGGGAGCTGCAGCGGGACTTAACTCTCACCGTCTCATCAACCGTGACGCAGTACCTCGGACTCAACATACGGGACGGCGAGAACACGATCCACCTCAGCGTCGCAAAATATGCCGACACCATCACCAAACGCTTCGGATTAACTCCAACTGCTATCTCCACACCGTACCGCTACACCTCTGCAAGTCACGAAGGAACCTCCGCTCCACTCAAGCCCGCCGGTATACGCGAATATCAGCGAAAACTAGGATTCCTGCTATTCGCAGCCGTCACCTGCCGACCAGACCTATCGTATTCACCAAGCCAGAAACCTGAAGCAGAGCACATGGCGGAACTCGACCACGCACTCCACTACCTCGTCAGCACTCCAACAATCGGCCTGACCTACCAAAAAAACGGAGCCTCGACACCTAAGCTAATCCGCTATGTAGACGCCGACCACGCCGGCAACGCAGACAACAGGCGCTCGCGCACCGGCTACATCTACCGACTCGAACCTATCGGGCCTATCTCGTGGCAGTCGAGCAAGCAGGAACTAATCCCCTCTCCTCAGCTGAAGCAGAATATATTGCACTCTGCTCAGCCACCAAGGAAGGCTTGTGTCTTCGCGAACTGCTGGAAGAAGCAAAGTTGGCCCAGTTACCCAATTTCTCTCTGTTCTGCGACAACTAATCTGCAATTCGGATAGCGAACAAGAACGGATTCGCGAACCGGACGAAGCATATCGCCCTGCGATACTTCTTCGTGAAAGACGAGATCGAGAAGGGGAGACTCGAGCTATCTTACTGTCCCACGACCGAGATGGCAGCCGACTATTTGACCAAGAAACTCGGAAAACAAAAATTCGAGTACTGCATGCTACTGACTGGACAGGGCCATGTCACCAGCAACGACACTCCAGAAGCAAAGGGGAGTGTTGGAAACAATTAATTAAACGCTTCTTATGTGTCGTAACACCGAACTACAAACGAAGCGAACTACAGAGGAACAACGGCGAGTCAACCATCGGAGGTTGACAAGAAAAGTAGCTGCTGGAGGTTACGCGAAGGTCAAAGGTCAGCGACCTTTGACTTGACAAATACAGCGCGACAGCAAGGACAAACAACTGACTCGATACCGAGCAGTTGCCCGAGTCGTCACTGTATCGAACCGCAACAGCAACAGTAAAACATTTACCAGTTGCATCTTTTCGTATTCCTTGTACTCTTATAAAACCGTGTATCTTCTTGCTTTAATCAATCTATCTTGCCCTCACATACTAGCACAAGGTGGTTCAACACTTGTTACTAAACGTTTTCGCAAATACAACACTTCTACTCAGAGTTTAGCTTTGAAAATATCCTAAGGGCTTTTTCTTAGCCCAACACTCCATATCTTCCCGCCCAACCCAAACGACATATGGACCTCTCATCATCGACGCCGCACGTAGCAAGAGCACCCGTGCCTGAGCGCGCTGCAGAGCCACCCGTATGGCTGCTTTAAGTGACCCTAGCAGATAAGCAGAACAACCCTTTCCCGTGGCCCTTGCCGCTCCCTTCGTCTATGCCACCTCAATCTGTGTATCACCCTGTTTCTTAAGCCATCGTCCAAAGCTCCCACTAAGACATCCCCAGGTCTCTGCAATGAGAGGCGTGAACTGCACCCCTATGCCACTACAAAAGCAATTTGTAAGCTGCTGCCTTCCGCTTTTCTCTCTCTCTAGCAGCGAAACCCACCTTGCAGCCGATCTGTCCGTGGTGCTGCGCTGACAGAGAAATAGGATCTACGACGCTAACCTCCAACGCATGCTCCTCCCCCTCCCTCGATCTCCGTACCGCCACATCCACTTTCTTCCCTGGCAGCAACGTATCGTCCTCTATAGTCACCACCCCACCTGCAGCTTTAGCTATTTTCGCCACCACGATCTTAACCGCATCGTGAGCTCGAGAAGGTGCATACTGATGCTTGCAGCGAAGGGCATAATGGGGATCTCGACCCCACAGGCGCATTTGCCGGCAACTACCAGCTGCACGATAGGGAGGCCTAGACACATGGCCGCACAGATGCTCCACTCTGGTGCGGTGAATGTAGCCTCGTCATGCGACGGAACGGCAGAGACCCACGCCCCCGCCCCCGGGCCCTGTAGGGATGTCAAACGGGCCAAGGTGGCATCATCGTGGGCCATGCCCCGAAGAGACTGCAGGCTCTCGACCGCTAGGCGATGTTGTTGAGTAGGGAAAAGCAACAATTGGAGGTCAGGAGTGCACAAAACAAGGGGCGGTATCTCCTGCCGAACCGGCTGTGGAAGCAGCTCCACTGCTCGCGCGAACCAGGGATCCGGCAAGGTCGTAGCCTCGGGCGTGCGGAAATTCTCCTCAAACATCCGCTCCTCTCCTGCCACCCCCATGCGAGCCACATCGCTCACTGCCTGGCACCAACCGCATGCGTACGACAGAGGGCTGAGGTCAGCTGCCGATCGTATGCCAAACCCCCCCAGTCTGGTAGGCAGATGCAACTGCAGGCGGGCCATCCGCAACTTTCATGAATCTTGATCCCAGGTACCTGTCGGTATCACAGATCCGTGATACTCCACCGTATCAACACGTCTCACTCGTCATTCGACTGTTGGCTACCCTTTAAAGCTGCTGTCTACATACTTTCAGGGACAGGCCTTGGTTTATCGCTTGCAAATCGGGTGAACCAAGTACCTGTATGTGAAGAAACAATCAAGGCGGAAAGAGGGAGGGGACTGGGGGTTCCCAAACCAATCGATACCTTGTTCGATAACGGAACGGGATTAGGGAACTTTTGGCGGTTGCAAAATTTTGTTGCGTCTGGTTCGAGAAGAAACTCACAAAACCAACACCTCACGTCCCCGTTCCGTAATGTTATCGAACATGGCCCGAAAGCTGACCTAGGGCTTGAGCCCTTCCGCACATTCTTCCCCCGCCCTTCCCTCCCTCACGAAATAACCAAATTTTCGCTTGATTCCCATCCCATCCCATCATCCCTAGCGAAACTGAGTAGTTCCGCCAGCATAATATAGCTCAGCCGACGAAAACTGCCGCCCATTTTCGCGGTTCAAAACGGACAACCCCCTTCCTCGTGGTTGACGACCCCACAACGACCTCCGCGTGGAAAGCCCAGCCTATCTGGCTGGGCCCGGTGCTGGTGAGCCCTCGGGATGGTCGACGACCTGTCGACCTAGAGTTCCGCTGAGACAATCCCGAGAAGGACGTCTCAGCCGCGTGTCAGAATACCAGCTCGGCAAGTCGGGCCGCGATGATCGCCACGCGGCCACAAAGGGACGCCCGAGATAGTCCCCTGGATGGCGGGGCCACCGAGGTCTGCCAGGTTGGACACGACGGGCCAACGGAAGGTCGGGGTGCTTCGCTTGGGAGAATCTCGCGCATGAACGTGGCAAGGTCGGTGCATACCACACAGCATTCATCCAACGGTTGCTCACATGCGCAAGGAGAAATCCGGCTGTCCACTATCTATGGCTAAGTGCAGTGGACACTGATGATGCGGGAATGTCGGCGTCGACCAGAAGAGCATCATCGTGGTGCCACACGGCAGTGTCTCCCGACCTCGACCTACCGAGGTGCACCTAATTCGGGACCACGCCACGTTGCCGCACGAAAGAGCCAGCGTGTAGCAGCCACGAAAAGAGCATGATGAGCGAAGCGCTGCAAGCAAGCAGCCATGCACGCCTGGTGGCACGTCGGACACGGCGCCGCCGCACGAGCGTACATGCATGGCGGCGTCGTGCACTGGGGTTTGCGTGGAGCGCCAAGTGGTGCGGAGTCGCTCACGACCATACCCATCCGTGGTCCCCGAAATGGTCGCTCATTCCGCCTGCCATTGTGTGTGCCACTGCTTTTTTTTTTTTTACCACTGACTTGACGGCCGGCACTTGGATTTTCTCTAGAGGCGTAACGTCGGCGTCGTGATAGTAGGCAGACGTGGTCGCCGACCTCTCGTAGGATTGTCTGCTGTCCCGACCTGCCAGATACCGCCGACATAGAATACGCATTTAGTAGTTTATCGACCTCACCACGCCGACTTCCCATCGCCCTAGGTCGCCGTATCATGGCCAGAGGACAGCCTCGTTCGACACCGCCGCAAACCAACCCACCCCCCGCCGATGTCGACATGACGGACGTTCCGAACCCCGCTAGCCAGGGTGAGGACGTCCGCCCGGTAGACCGTACACCGACCAGTAACCCCTCGTCGACTTTGCCGCTGCTTTACGATCTCGACGCCCTGGCCCAAATCCCGCAGGGAGAGTTCACCAAGGACGTTCCGCCCGCGCCGATAGGGGAGTTCACGAAACCACGCAAAACGTCGACGCCGACGGATGCAGGGGAGGCCGGGCCGTCGTCTGTGCCGGACGGATCGGGCGACCAGGATGAGGACGATTATTCATCGGCGAGCGACGAGGACGACGAAGACGACCCGCGGCCCCGACGTGGTGCAGGTCCGCGCACGTTGGAAGAAAAACTCAGGGGGGAACGTGCGTTCATAGAGGAACTGTTGGACGAGAACGAGCTTGAGGATCTGCTGCACACGTCGGTCCCTCGAGAAATGTGGAAGGCGGCCGACTTCGTAGAGGAAGATATGGTGTACGCGTGCGTCGACGTGCTCGTGATGGAGGCAATGCGCCACCTGAAAACCATAGAGGCCAAGAGCACGCTCAAGTCCTACACCTCATGGATATACGACTACAAAAGGTGGACGGCGAAGATGCTTAAAAAAATTGGCGACAAACTGCCGACAGCAGAACAAATGAGGCACGTCGACGAGATAGGGCACTGGACACACAACAACAAGAGCAAGGATTGGGACAACGAGAAGGTGGTCAAGCGGAAGCACATATGGCTGCACGGCCCCCGGGTCACTAGTACGCGACTGCGCGCCTACATCAAGTTCATGAGGCGGGAGTACAAGATCGACGCCGACACGAACGAGCCAGTGCGAGCCTACACGGTGCACATGATCCTCGGCCGCATCAAGGCCTGCCAGATGGCGGCGAGGGTGGAGGCGACACTCTACAAGGAGAAGGAGTTGGGCATCATGCGGGAAATCTCGGTGGTCCGGTCGGAGGTGCGGGTCATGGTCCGCACGAAAAATCAGAGGGACCTCGAGTAAGTTGGCATGCATCGCCGTGTTATGTCGCCATCGATTTGTGTTCCTCGCCCTAATATTCATATCCATATATTGTTATGTCGACAGTAAATGCGCCGACCGTCGACGCGGCACCATCGGCGACACATACACCGCCGAACAGTTCCGCCAGATAATGACGAGGGTGCTGCCGGCTTGGGCGGCGTCGGCATGGAGCCCGCATTTCACCACACCTACGCAGACGCTGTGGAGGTTTCTTCTCATCAAGGTGCTCACGCTGCTCTCCCACCACAGCCTCATGCGTGGTGCAAGCATACGCGAGATAACGCTCCCCGACATCTTCCTGTACCGACTGGCGAGCACCTCGTCGGTGAACCCGGATAACCAGCCGGTCGTCATGGTGGTCGCCGCGCGGAACTCGAAGACGTCGAAGGATGCGCGTCTTCAACAGAGCTACGCGGCGCGGCACCTAGAAGCGGAGTTGTGCGCCGTCGGCAAGACCGGGCTGTGGTTACACTTCGTCCTCGACCAGATCGGCCAGTTTCACGGCGTCAACCTCATTCCGCCGGTCGACACCAGCACACGCGAGCTGGTACAAGAAGCACCTGTTCTTCGCCCGCAACGACCCCGAGCAGGGCGAACTCTCAGCTCCCAGCCACCAGCGATGGACGAGGCAGATGTGGAAGACGAACGGGGTGTTCTGCAAGTGGAACGTCCATGCCGCTCGGGCGGGCGGGGCGCAGGAGTTGGCCATCCAAGGTACGCCTCGCGCCGAGATAGCCGAGCTGGGTCACTGGGCTCTCGACAAGATGACTCGAGCCTACATCACATCCATTCCCGTCGGCGTGGTGATGAAGAAGGCCGGCTATTCGGGATTCACGCAGGACTACTTCTTGGGTCGCAGTAGGGTGGAACCGGGAGACGAACTCCTCGCTCTCATCGCCGAGCACATCTTCCCCGGCGTCGACGACCTCCTCAACAAGGTTTGTTTATCGGTGCCGACCAAGCTTGCATGGTACTGTCCTATCCACCACGGAAATAACCCACATCTGATGTCTAACTGCAGGCAGAAGAACTCGCGAAGAAGGGGTCCAACGCCGACGTTGCGGCCGTGCATTTCTGGCGCACCCTTCTGATGTTCCGCCGCATTGTCGCCGAGGACCTCGCGGTGAAACTCGTCCGCACCCCTTGGCACCCGTACATCCAGTATTCCAAGCTCTGCCGGATTCCCCTCTTCCAGCACTGGGCGAAGAGGGTCGAGAAGACCGACACCGACACCATAAAAAAGCGGCAAGATCCAACCCTCATCCAGCCAGAGGTAGGTCATCTTTTATGCCGACGTCGCGATGTTATCTATGACCGCTACAACCCCTCATCTGCACCGTTTTTCGCCTACCATTGCAGGAGATATCGGTCCGCCATGACGCCCAGTTCGCGGTCGTCTCCCTCACGGAGATGCTTAAGCTCGAGAGGGAGCGGTCAACGGTCCAGAAGCTCGACCTCGAGGAGAAGATCGAGAATCGCGACGCAACCATCGCGTCGCTCGCGGCCGAGATAACACGCCTCACCGAGGTTCTCCGCGTTTCAGAAGCTCGAAGGATGCCGGAGGCGCCGCCAGCTGCTAACGACCAGTCGCCGAGCGACGGTGGCTCCGCGGAGTCGGCAAGCAGGGGTGGAGGAGCCAACAAACCCAATAAACCCCCACAGACGGTCAAGGAGGCTAGCTACGAGCTGAACGTAGTGCAGCCTTGGCGGACTGCAACGACCGTCAAGGACGCGTGGCGCCTCTGGACCTCGTGCACCAGCGCCGACACCCGTCGTCTGTGCAACAGGTTCAGGGAGCCGGGATTCGTCGACCGCCACACCCTCCTCGACGGAGCCTCGCAGGGAGCACACGGGAAGAGGGTGCGCCGCATGATGAAGGTCATCGATGCGGTGCGCCAGCTTCGCAGGAGCGACGGCGAAGCCGACACGGAAGCCACCGTCGACGCGCTTAACAAGATAGCGGCGCCTGGCATTGGGACCTTCGCGGATGCCCTCACGGTGCTCAACGCGGACGCCGTAGCGACCTATGCTGAGCAGGGTAAGGGCGTCAAAGGGCTCGGCAAGACGGAATTTTCCAAGCTTCGTGTCGCCTGTGCGTTCGTGGCGCGCGGGTTAAAGCCCGAAACGTGGGTCGCCGACCTGTTCCCGGACACCTGGGTTGAGCAGATGAAGAAGACGTTGGCCGATCTGGCCCGCGAAAACGACGCCGGGCAGCTGCCTCCGACCAATAAGTCGACCAAGCGCAAGAAAACCGCTTGAATGTTCCCAGGCCTCCTGCTACTGTGGCCTGTTGCATGTTGTAGATGTTGATGCAGCATGCCTATGTTTCATACTGATACTGATGTCGACTTTTTGTTTCTCACAATGATCCTGTTGTTCTTGGCCTAGCGGGGCATTCACGTGTCGTTCAAACTGAAGTAGACAATCATTACTAGCTAATGTGTTCATTACTCATCCTACGTAAAGTAGACAGGCACGCACAAAAAAAAACACAAAGAAAGAGCATCAAAGGGATCCGACAGCCAAAACAAGGAAAACGATATCGACCATTTCATCATCGAGTCCACGCAGCACTCAATCTTAGCAGGCCGTCGACTAGGCCGTCGTGCTGTCCTTCTTCGACATCTTGCCCTTCTCCGTGCCGCCCTTGGTCTTCGTCCCCTTCTTGCCCCTCAGACCCTTCCTCCCCCTGTTGTCAAGATCGGCCTTCATCTGCGCGTCAATCGGCACCGCGATGTCCCTCGCTCTTAGTTTCGGCCCGGCGACGGGGCACATTCCCCAAAACGCCATCGTCTCAACCATCGCTCTAGCGATAACGTCGGCATCTACTCCAGCATTCCCCCCCGGATAGACCCTATCAAGGGCGGTCCTCTGGAGTGCTGGCGCGACGTTGTAGGCAACCTCTCCCAGGGGGGCGGTCCCTGTTCATCTCGGCTTTCAGCACCGCCTCCATGACTTTTCCGAATACATCGGCGGTCGCCTGGCTCGCTCCGCCGATGATCGCCGCCGACTTCCCTTCTTCCACAACATCCGCCAGCTGGGCATCGCCGTTCTCGACGAAGCACCACACAGCGCATGCGGATGCTGCTAACGCCCATGCCGCCATATCCGTCTTCTCCTCCTTGTCTCCCTCCTTCTTCGCCGCTGCCGCAGCGGTCTTCCCATATGCAGCGCACATTGACACGCGGCCTATCATCGCCGACATCATGAACGCCGACTTCTCCCGGCCTTCCTCGGTGCTAGCATCGACTGGGTACCATATCGCTGGCAGGAGCGCGGCGTGGAGACAATCGCCTGTGGACTTGTAATGGCGATACGCGTCGAGGATCTCTGTCAGCCTGTCACGCCACCACAAACAGGGCGAACATGAGTGACAACGACAACGACATCGACTTTGAATCGGAGGATTGCCGACTTACCGTGTCTTTGGAAGGAGCGTACCCCGGGCCCACATCACCGTCCACATCCCTGTCGGCAAGATCCTGACCTCCTCCCACACCTCCTTCCACCTCTCCAATTCGGCGCTGTCCAAGCCGGTGAGCTCGGTCATGAGCACCTTGCTCACGAAACCGTCGTAGACGACGTACGCGATGGAGTGAACGTACGCGAGCTCCATCTTGTCCCGCGACTTGCCGATGTATCGATTGATGCCGTGCACCTTAATCTCGCCGACCCACCCTTGCTTGTCGCCCGAGGTATCGTGTCGGATGCCATGACCCCTCCTCTCCTTGCCCTTCCCCTCCTCCTCCTCCTCCTCCTCCTCCTCCTCCTCTTCCTCCTGCTCGACCTCCTCCACCTCCTCGACATCCTCATCCTCCTCCTCCGCCTTCCTCTTTCCCTTTCTCCCCTTCGAGGAACCCTCGCCGACCGCCTTCTCCTTCCCCTTTCTCCCGGTCGACGCACCTTCTCCGACCGACTTGTCCTTCCCCTTCCTCCCCGTCGACGTACCCTCGCCGGGCGACTTCTCCTGATTCTCCCCTTTCCCTTCAACCTCCCCAATGCCGCCTCGATCTTTGTCCGCCGCCGTCTCCGCCGCCATCCCCTTCTGTTTATCCGCCGCCTTCACCTCCGACTTCTCCCGCGTCTTCCTCTGTGAGCCCGCCTTCCCCTTCCGTTTCGACTTTCCTTCACCGACCGCATCACCGGTCGCACTAGGCTCTGCCGCGATGCCGACGAGTCCCGCCGAAGGCTCCACATGTTCCGTGTCGGAGATGGCCAGGGTTCGGGGATTGGCTGCATCCAGATGGGCCTGTATGGCAGCGATATCAGCGTCTGCGGGGACCTCCTCAACGGCGCCGCCGCCGGTGGCAAGCGCGGCACGAACGCCCTTCTCCGCCGCCTTCTCCACATCAGCTGCCACATGGGTGGGTGGTGCGACATTCGCCGACGACGGCTTAGAGCCAGAGCCAGAAGCCTGCTGAGTCCTCTCAGTCGATGCTAGTGCGCCCAGCTGGGCGCGCAACAACGCGGACTTTGGGTCTGCAGGAGTACGGGCGGCGACGACCGGCACTACACGTGGCCCACTGGCCGATGGGACGTCGACAGCAGGGGGGGCCTGTTGAACAGCCCTGTGGCCGGCTAGGAGCCTGAGCTGCTCCTTGAGCGCGTCCGCAACTGCCGCCCCTTTTCCCGCGCGGCCAACCTTGTCGGCAGACGGTACGTCGGCATGGCGCGGGACGTCGGTAGGTCGCCCGGCAGACGGTCCGGTCGGATGGCGTGCACCCGCGGGAGACTGGTGAGGAACCGCTGACGCCTCCGCAACCCCTGTCTTCGGGCCCTGGCCAGCTTTCGCGGACCCGCCTGGGGCCGTTTTGGCGGCGGCCTTCTCCTTGTCGCGCAGGCCTTTCACACCGCTACCCTGTCGTGGTGGCTTAACGCCGACCGAAGGCGGAGCCATTGGCAGTGCGTCAACAATGGCATGCTCGTCGGCGGGACCCCCACCACCATGGCCCGTGCTGGCCGCTCCAACCTGAGCCCAGTGCTTCCTGAGGATGTCGACCACGCTCTTCCCCGACTGCTTCAACGAACTGCCGTCGCCGGCTCCCATGCTCCCATCGCCGGCGACGCGAGAACCAGCCGCTCCCTTGGTCCGCCTCGCGCCCGCCGAATCGTCTCCGTCCCCCCCCCCCCCGCCGCCAGACCCCCCGCCTCCCTTGCTCCGCTTCGTGTTCGCCGAATTGTCCCCGTCGCCCCCCCCCCGCCGCCTCCCCGCTGTCAAAGTTTGAAGAAAGAAAGAGGATTGAACTAGCAAGAATGAGGATACAAATAGCAAACCCTAGAAGGGTTGTACTCGCTATAGAGCACCCCACTACAGGCTAGAACAATAAGATAATATTCTGACACACCCCCATAGCCAAAGTGGGGTGTAATCAGCAGAGCAGGCAAAGCAAAACAAGCTCAGGGTGGATCACAATGTCACCACACATTCTGAGCACAAGTTCAAGAAGAAATAGTTTAGAGTTTACAATTATAAGCAAAGCTAGTGGTAGTCACAACGGGCAAGTGAGGAGGAGGAGGGAGAGTGAGGGGAGAGGAGACAGGAGGCGACGGCTGAAGCTGCAGACACACGGGCAACAGGAGGCAGACTGGCACAGCGGCTACCGGACAGCGCCCGGACTACAGGGGTAACAGGCCCCGCGGCTCAAATAGCGGCGGACGGGCAACGGACCCACGGGCGGCTGGCACAGCTGGCTACGACTGGGCTACCGGGACAGCGCCCCGGACTACAGGTGCTGCTGACGACAAACTGGCAACCTCCGCTCATCCTCCCGCACACAGTCCCACCCCCCTGATACACACCCACTGCTACACCACTAGCTCTACTCCCACGCACCCCCCTAAAACCCTAAACCCCAGTCTCCCACACAACCACCCCCCTCAGCGACAGCTGCAGCAGTGGGAGACGAAGGAGGAGGAGGAGAAAGGGAGGAAGGCACACCAGCCACCCCCATACCCGCCACCCCACAGCTCGCCCCTCAGGTCGCCACGACGGACGACGGGAAATGGGGGAAGGGGAGAAAAGGGGGGGGGGCCACCATGGACCTGAGGGGAGGGCGGGGCCGCGACAAGGGGCGGGGCCGCGACGAGCGGGGCGGGGCCGCGACGGTCGGGGTGGGACCGCGACGTAGGGTGGGGCCGCGACAGGTCGGGGCCGCGAAGGTAGGGCGGGGCCGCATAGGGTCCGGGGCGGGGCCGCGACGTAGGGCGGGGCCGCTTCGAGGGGCGGGGCCGCGACGCAGGGGCGGGGCCGCGACGAGGGGCGGGGCCGCGACGGTCGGGGCGGGGCCGCGACGGAGGGGCGGGACCGCGACAGGTAGGGCGGGGCCAAGCCGGGCAGGCGCACGGGCGGCGACGGGCCGGGGCGGGGCCGCGACGAAGGGCGGGGCCGAGCCGGGCAGGCGCACGGGCGGCGACGGGCCGGGGCGGGGCCGCGACGTAGAGGAGAAGCCCGCCGCGCGCCCCGGGGCGCACAGCGGGCAATGAACCGCCGCGCGCCTCGGGGCGCACGGCGGGCAGAAAACCGCCGCGCGCCTCGGGGCGCACGGCGGGATGAAAAAGTAGCAGCGGAAGCAAGGTGGGGACACACCCACAGGATCGATCCAAGGGGATCGACCTGCTCTGATAGCATGTCAAAGTTTGAAGAAAGAAAGAGGATTGAACTAGCAAGAATGAGGATACAAATAGCAAACCCTAGAAGGGTTGTACTCGCTATAGAGCACCCCACTACAGGCTAGAACAATAAGATAATATTCTGACACCCGCCTCTTATGACCCAGCTTCAAGCCCTCCGTAGGTTGCGCTTGGCCGGCGTCGTTTGCCGACGGCGACGACCCACGCCGAGCATATGCCACCGTGCCGACGACCTCGGCCATTATCTTCAGTCCGGAGGCGAGGAAGGACTGCTGCGTGGTCTCCGTCACCGCCTTCAGCACGTCCTCCTTGAAAGACTTCAGGAAATCTTCCGGCAAGGCCTGCGCTGGGCCGGTAGGCGGCGGCGGCTGGACTAGGCGGGGCGCGACGGCGGCGGCAATGTTGGTCTGCGCGGCGCCGATGTATTTGATGAACGACTCCTCCAACCCCTTCCTCGCCTCGCCCACCTCCGCCGTCACGTGCTCGGTCACTGTCTTCACCGCGGTCGCGCGTGCGACCGCCGCTCGTCCCTTGGGGTCGTCAAGATCCAGCAGCGTCTGCCTCGCTAGCTCGGCGAAGGACTTGGCCGATTGAATGGCGCTGTCCATGTTGTCGGTGAGGCCCTCGGT